ACACTTTTAACTTCCAACCAGTCTGCCCAATTCCTTGTGACACTGTGAATTCAAGATAGCCTAAAAACTCTACATAGAAATGGCTTCTCTGACAATGACAGCCTCATTCTTGGGTGGCTCCGCAGCTGCCGCCATTTCCAAACAACCTCCCACCACCGCGCGCCGTGGAGGGGTTTCCATGGTTAAGGCCTCCAAGGATGAAAAGGTCGTGATGAGCACCAAGGAAGAGGGAAGCAGCACTAGAAGGGACTTGATGTTTGCGGCCGCAGCTGCAGCCGCATTTTCGGTCGCAAAAGTTGCTATGGCTGGTGAGCCCAAACCAGGAAGTGCAGAAGCTAAAAAGAAGTATGCACCTATTTGTGTTACTATGCCCACTGCCCGCATTTGTCGCAATTGAGATTTGATATTGGCTTTTGTGATGCCTTATGTTTTATCTATTTATCATGGAAGAATGAATATTGTAAAAACCTTATTCTCTTGCTAATTTATCTTATATTATGTTGTCCATAATGTATATGGCTTGTGTTTGATCCACCATTTTCAATTGCTAAATAGAGTACTTCAGCAAAGAACAAGTATTGGGGCGGATTCTGCCATAAACCGATTTGCAGGAAATAGAAATCAATTTTTTTATAGTCATAAACCGAACTTCTCAAATAATGTGTGATTGAAGTAGTCCATACAAGCTATCCCTTCAAAACTGCCATATATGACAATCTACAAGCTTAAGTTGATTAGGGCATAACAAAATTTTTGTTTGAAATATAGTCTTTCACATGACGTGCAACGAGTTCACTTTTAAAACTTGTGCATCATCCTATACAAACTGTGGGTCTCATGGGATTATTTGCCTTGATAGCAGCAATTATTACTTTTCGAGTATCCATCAAGTATTGTGATTAACTACGACACTCGAAGCGATCATTGTTAAATAATTTATTGCAGACATTAAGGACATGTTTAATAAGTTGAACTATAGAGATTCTCCCACGACTTGTACTCATGAATAATACCACAATATATTGAAGTCTTCAAGTGCTTTGCATATGCTTAAAAATAAATTTTAGAAAATGGAAATGATTAACACCCGTGTGTGTCAGCCGTTTGATTAAAAATAAATTTGAACTATGTAAGAAAAGTCGCACAAATTCTTTTGAACTTTTCAAAAAATGTACTCGAGTGTGCATGTTTTAAATTCAATTCTACCCTCCAACCATTTGTGAAAATTGTGCGAGAGTCAAGTCTTTCTTGTTTCTTTGATTAAACAGTAAGTCAGTATCAGTAAAATAATTTCTTTTTATCTGTAACTACTTTCGGAATGGATTCTATACATAAATGAAAACTAACTTCCCCCTCTGCTTATTTCATATTTTTAAAAATATAAATAAAAAACGTACAATAGAAAAGAAAAACGGTCTGAATTGTAAAATATCTCTATTAATGTTATTTGAACACTCATTCCATCT